TCGAGGCAGGATTGCCATCAGACGAATGCCGTCCTTTAAACACCCAGAACAAGAGACAAGGCTTTCAGAGACAGCTGAGGCTGCCAGAACACCAGCTTCTCCTCCTCACCCACACAATGATGGCATTGTGTGGGGAATCCAGCCCACTACTCTCAGCCTCCCTTTCTGCAAACGTGGCCACAATGACTAGTCAAGTCAGGACCAAAGAGCTGAGCTTTCGGTGACAGCCAGCCCTATAACCACTTGTACCAGCTGGATAAATCCAAATTGCTCATTCTGTATGGAATTTGTTTGCGTGCTATCTAGCAACACCCAGAGACTAGAGGAAGAAAAAAAAAAGTAAAAAAATTTCAGAAGTCTTTAACGGAGGTCACGAAACACACAAGTAGATTCCAAAACCCGCCTCTGAAATGCCACACAGTTTGCAAAATGGAAAAGTTATAAATAAGATTAATATTGTCAGTGTATTGTATTTTGTACATAAAAAATGGACTGCCTCTGAAAATTGCCTTGCACAATACAAGTGCACTCTGAATATCAGTTTGGTTTTGAGATTCTAATACATACACAGGGCTACTGACAGGCTATGAGGCACAAGAGCCTTTGCAGCATAACACCTAGAAATAAACACAAAGCCATGAGGTTTTTTTTAAAACCCACAAAAAAATCCTGACTGCTGAATCTGACTGACGAAATTGAGAAAACACTTGGGATATCAACGTTCTGAGAACTCCCTAAATTTCATATTCAGAAGGTATGGAGTCAGATACTCTATAATCACAAATGAAAATTTCAGCACAAACAGACTAAAAATAGAAAACAAGATAGCTTAAAATTACTTAGACAGCTCCTAAGCTTTAACTGTGGTTCATAAGCTCACAATACGAAATACTCCAGCCCTTAAAGACCTTAAACACCAGTATATCAAAACAAGCCACAGTCGGTCTTTCTAGTGGAGCACAGTATTGAAGATTCTGGAAATGAGTAAGACAGAAGGCTCACTTGAAAAAAGGGCACTTAGAATAACCCCCCAAAAAAGCATTTGGGAAAGAAGGGTTGTAGGTTGTTCCCAGGTACCTGAAAGAACAAGATCTAAGGATGATGGCAAGTGAGAGAAGGGACCAAACTAATCACCATGCGAGAAGACCAATGGCTTGCCAATAAAGGCAGCTGAAAGCTGGAGGAATAAGGACCACCAATTGTGTGAAATTACGTCATCAGGGCATGATGTCTGAAACAAAGGCACGCCATGAGTTGGTGGTGTTACAAAGAGAGGGGATGGGAAGTTCTATCTTCATGAACTCCGTGTCCAAGGCAGCAGTGAAGCAAACAAGAGGACACACCAGGGATAGACATCAGGGGAGAAGTCAGAGATGGGGGTAACTCTGGAAGTCATACATGGGTTGATGACAATTGAGGGAAGATAAAATTTCCTGTGCAGTGGTTCCCAAACGGAGCATTCACAAGGTCGTAATCATCATCCATAGCTCTCAAAGGGCGTCTGGCTGGAAGGGTCTTCATTAAGAATACACTCTTTATGAGCAGAATATTGCCATGACCTCTCTCAGTGGTCTACCATAAAACAGGTCAGCAACTGATGCTTTAAAGACAGAAAACCAAAGAACAGGGAACAGCGTCAGGAAGTGGATAAAGAGACATTTAAGGAGACATTGAATCAACAGTAAAGTAAGAGGAGAATCAAAAGAATCCTGAAAGTCAGGAAGAAGACAGCCTGTTGAATCAACCCAAAACCTGGAGGACAGAAAGCTGTCCCTTTGCAGTAGATGGGGACTGCTAATGATCACTGTGACAGCAGTTTCTCTGGAGCTCAAAGGAGAAAGGCAAAGGAAAAGAAAAAAAAGAGAGAACTAGAAGAAAACCAAGAGAAAGCCAACACAGAAAAACAAAAGGAAAGGGGCCCTAATTTGATAAATACAATATGAGCAGAATTTTCCATTTGCACTTCTCTTGAGAAAGAAGACTGCCAGGAGTTTGAAGGGAAAGGTAAATGAGTCAGAAAGGAAGCCTTGAGAAAAGGACCTCAGAGCAGAGGGAGGTACAATGCAGGAGGAAAAAGGAGTGAATTTAAGATTTAACATCACAGAACAGAGATTGTGGAGCAGGTGAAGAAAGAAAAGGTGGAAACAGGCGGGAAGAAAGAGAAAATGGCAACAAGGTTATAGGAAAAGAGGAAATAAAGGAGAATTAATATTTGATTTATCTGACATTTTAGTCTAGCTTCTTATGGAACGAGCTTTGTGCAAGCCAGCTGTCCGCAAGCAAGGTTGCCTCTCCCCATCCCAAGAGCTTTTGAATGTAATGGTCAGCTTCAGTGAAATTCCAAATCTCAAAGAAAATACAGTTCTTTGAAGTTGCATGGTGATCTGTGTTCAAGTAAAGGAGAAATAAATCTGTGTTTCCTAAGTAGACAAAAGGCAGTAATGTGATTCTTCCTTATTATTGTTCCCTGATTCACCAGAGGACCATCATGAAACTCCAGCTCTGTACTGAGCAGAAGCCTCCAGTGAAACGTGGGCTCTCTAATAAACCCGGGCTAACCAACTGAAAGGCAGAGATTCACAGGAGACAAGGCTTCTGCAGCAGCACCGCTCAATGCTCAGTGTTTTTTGAGACTTGCAAAGCAACTGACTAAAATTTTTGTATGAAGGCTGGGGAAAAAGAGAAGCATAAAGAACTGATATTGTGAACCAAGTGTGAAGGTAGACCTAAGTACAGGCAGGAGCTTCGATGGGTAGAAATAAGTACAAGGTGGTAGTTTGTTTACGGTACAGGACCAAGAAATGACTGTGTGAAAGCAAGCGTAAAGATAAAGAAAAAGAAACCAGATGGTCCAAAAGGGCTCAAGAAAAATAGGTAACATTTTTCAGAGAATGAGTAGAAACTGTCAACGTGGAGGTTTCTGAAGCTGTCTCTGGTGTTGTGGTCACGTACTGCTGCCTGCTATCACCCAGAACATCGCTTCTGTCGATCTGAAAGCTCGGACAGCTTTCCACAGCAAATGTAGTGCCTGACTGTTCATCAGAGAGACCACTGGTTGACTCAGGGGTCTCATCGTGCTCTTCACCAGTTTCTGGCTGATTCAGTCAGTGGAAGAGGTTCATAAAATCCTTGTCCAATCTGCTGAAGAGTTAGCGTCAACTAACCCAAATATTACCAGTCTCAAGCAGCCAAGTTACTTCTTTGGAATCTTGTTATTTCTTATAGACTGACAGGTTTTGTATGCCAGATTTTCTTTTCTTCCCTGCCCCTCCCCTCTTCCTTTCAACAGCACCTATTGCTAAGCGCTGAACTCTTCCATCTTGCAAATTAGCAAATATGTGAACATGATTTTTTTTGTTGTTGAATAACGGCTAATACATTACGAGATGGACTTCCTTATGTACTTAGACAAGTATAGTCTTGCTTTAATTATTTAGGAAAATGCTTTGCAGTATGCCAATAAAAACTCTACAGTATATATTTGCATATTTTTTAAAAATAATGAAGTCTTAGGGACACGTGAACTTTCTGCTAGTCTGCAATTACATCTATGCTTAGAGGGAACGTGTAGGTGAGCAAATGGCCTCACCATTTGTGTGTTAGCATCTGAATATGATGAGATTTCCTATTTAATGAAATTAGCTACAGCAGATTCTTATCATGGATCTTCCTAACAGACACTTAAATTTTGATAGTTTTGTGGTATCTAAAAGAAAAAAATACAGACATGATAGACATGATACCCAAACCTCAACACCAGAAAGAGATTCTAAAACTGAGATGAACTTAAATAGTTACTTTCCCTAAAGTAACAAAATAAGGTTGAAAGCAGACTCTGATTTTATAGTTTGTTGCCTAATGACACAAATCCAGGACTATGACATTTTATATCACTACAGAAGGCCAGTAGCATGGAAGAAGTTGCAAGCTGAAAGTATACAGTACAAATGGCTAACCGTACAGCATCTGAAAAATATTACAGCATTTCACAAAAATAAACTAAGAAAATACTTTGTATTAATGTATGCTAATAACTTTATTTATATGGATATAGCACCTGTCACACTTTTGGCACGGATTAGTATTTTCACTGTACTAAGCGCTACACAACTACTTTAATTTGAAGGATGAAAATCATAGGTCTTTTCTTGAATTATTAAAAAAGAAGATTGCACTAGGGTACCATAACTAAAAAAGTTAACTGTAAGAGCATCTGTCCCATGATATCTTCTCTTTAGCATTCTTCCCACTACCTTCTTCCTTGCACGCACACTGTTCACTGTGAGTACATCTCTAATTATTGTCACATGCACATGGTTTAGTTGACATTGCTTCTCTGATGTGTATTTTGTCTTCAGACATTCTCTGCTTCAGAATGGCGTACCGTATTACTGCATCCTACGGATCGTCAGTTCTTGCTCTGACAATCACAGTGCTGGAAAGCAGCTACCAGATGTGCCAGCACTGTAGTCTGCCAGATTAAATTTTGCGAATACCAATCCTCAAATTCCCAATTTGATTTGAGATTAGTGAGATAGTTAGAGACTATGCCAAAAATTTCTAGATGATCAGATCCTGTTCCCAAATTCCACCCCCTGGATACACAGAAGTAGCAGCACTCAGAAAAAGGCTGAGAGCAGCCAACGGCCGTGTGAGTTCAAAGTGCTTCCACTTTATTCTTTCATTATGTCTGCATCTATGATCATATTTTTCTGTTAGTCAATACTTACTGAAGTCCCTGAAAGACGTACTTTGGCAGAAGTTATGTAGGGTAACAATTCCAGGCATGATGGTCATTTCCTTGGCTCTACTCATGAATCATGATCTTCAGAAGTCCCTTCCAACCCCTACCATTCTGTGATTCTGTGATCAGAATTACTTCCCACAAGAAAGCTACGGGCACCTTTGGAGACAATCAAGTCACACCAAACTGCATTGTTTTGCCCCTCTTTAAAATAAGATGTGGTCCTACGAAAGGAAAGGGAGATGCTGACACTCACCTTGCATCCCTCACAAGCACTGACACCATAGTGATATCCGGATGACTTGTCTTGACAGACAAAACAGGGCTTGTAAACACGAGGGGGTGGAAGTGGTGAAGGAGGGCTCGGAACAAGCTCCTCAGAACTGGTGCTCTGAGTTTCAACTGCTACAAAAGAAAAAAGAAATACAATTGAATGATTCATGAATGACTTTTAACTAACTCATTATTCACTGAATTATAACTACCAGACTGGCCCATACCTTTCTTTATATAATAAACATTCATTTGTCTTTCCTAGGAAAAAATTATTGGGAACTAAAGCAAGGCAAATAATGACAGGATGACACGCCATAGTCTCAAAGTGTATTTTAAAGGCACTGATAGTTTGTCACAACCCAGCTACTCGACACACCACAAAAGCTTCAGCTCACTTCATATATAGGGCTTGAATCTCTTATCAGGTTCCAAAAATGGGCAACTTTGGGCTCACGCTCCGATTTTAGCCTTGGTTTTATCTCTTCCCTTTTTCTACAAAAACTAACACGTCCAATATGCAATTCTGCTACAGCAGGATAGTGGCACGCATCAGGGCATATATAAAGAGACAAATGACTAAGTAAAAAACCTGAAGTGAAAATTACCTACACAAGTCTTTTGTTTTGTTTTGTTTTTTTAAAAAAATAAATCTGCAAAACTAGCACAACTCTGCAACACTTCCTTACCCACCTTAGGATTTCTAGTATCAGGAAACCTCTCTGCGAAAGAGCTACTTACACATGATGACCCCACATCCCTTCATTGCCTTAATATTTCTAGACAGTCATTTGTTTTGAACCTGCTGAAAAGCCAGTTATCCCTTTCACAGAAAGGACATGAAAGCTCTACGATGCAAGATAAGACATGTGAAGTACATCTTTCCAAAACATCTGCATCAGTTTTCTGTGATGTGCTGTCAGCATTCCTCACGTTTATTGTAGATGTGCAATACATTTTCATGTTTCAGCTAGCCGTCTGCTGCTTCTCACATAAATCCCTCTAACTTTTCAGCAGATATATGGAAATGACAGGATCTGTGAACCCAGATCTATCCAGAAATATTAGGAACCATCAGCAGAGTTAAATCTCAAGAGTACTAAGAGCAGGCCCTAAAGAATATTACTCAGTGGAAAAATCTTAGACAAGATTTACTGTGCATGATATTTTTCAGATTACAAAGATGATACATTTGTATTAAACTCATGATTCATTGTCAATTCGTGTTCTGCAGAATTCACAGAGGGCACCATGGAGCACGCTGCAACTTCTGATTACTTGTGAGAGAAGGGCTCCTTTCTGCCATTTTTACTTTGGTTAAGCTACTATCAACTTCAAGGACAAACATTTCCTGAGAAGAAAATAAATGCTAGAGTGAAGTGTTAAAGGCTCTCATTGTAAGCAAAGAAATATCTTTCCAATGGGAACAATTTATTTATATATCTAACAATAAGGAGGCTGTAAAAAACCAGAGAAGTTAAATAATGTGGCTCCATAAATTGTGACATTAAGACAACGTCCAGAGCTGTTCTTTAGCATATTTTCAGCACTAAATACACCAAACCTTGGCAAACTAAAAATGTACAAGTTCCTACTGCACCAAGAAAACTTCAGCAAAGTTTTTTCTTAATGAAAAAAAAAAAGATGAGAATGATCATTTTGTTTAAACAGTAATTTTTGGTATTTAAGAGAGACAGAGAGTGCTCTGTTATTGATCTCTGCACAGCCATCCTGCTTGAATCAATAATCTATTAGTACTTTTAAATTAAAGTTGGATTCATCAAATGCCCTTGAGAGGCCTCAAACATTCCTTGCCTTATTTCATGCTCGTACATGAATTATGGTGGCTTCCAATGAGTCTACGGAACGATAAAATTTTAGCTTTAAAACTCTTAATACCAGCAGACAATGTGTTTCGTATTAGCTCATTCAACTCGCTCAGTCCATCTAAAAGGCAGTTTTTAGGCTCCTCATGGGAAAACAAGGTTGTGTCATTCAATAAAACAACCGCGCTCCTGCAATCCTTCTGTGATTTCAGTTTGTGGAAAGCAGAACAATACCGATATACTTCTGCTTTTTTTCACAATTTCATCCTATACAGGTATTACTATCCAACAGCAGTGTCCCAACCACGAACCATATGTACAAACCAAGGTCTGTCAGGCACTGGGCAAGCACCAGGAACCTGTGATACTCAGAAGAGACTAAGCAACCAGCTCAGTTCATAAATACACAACATAGTCAGAAACTGAAGGTGCTGCCAGAGAATTTTTTTTCTGGACAATTTGAAAAAGCATACGAGAAAGAAAGAGCTATGTAAACCAGAAGACACTCCCTAAAACACCTATATATATATATATATATCATCATGGCTAGGCTTCATGCATGAAGATATGGGAAGGGCTCTACCCACACTTGCTACAAGCGCGCTGATGGCTAAAAAGGCTGATGTGGGATAGACAAGTTCAGTTGCAAAAGGCACAGCGGCAAGTCTCCTTAGGTGGTATTGGTGAGGCACGGTTCTTTCTGCGTTGTCTTTTCTCCTCGAGACTAATTCTACGTGCATTCTCAAAGGAGGCAGCAGCCTTATGGATGGTGTGTATATATATATATCAGCAGGCAGGTTTTATATATAGGTTTTATACCTATAAAGCATTATTTCTGTATCATGTTGGTGGCTGGTGGCTGCATGATAGCAGGACCTACTTTCTTCTATGCACGTCTGCACATGTAAGGTGGAAAAAAGAAAGGATGAGGGGCAGAGAGCTGACATTTCCCGATGAGGCATTTTCAAAGCAGTCTTAAAATTTCAGGAAGAACTCAAGGAAAGAAAGAAAGGAAAAAAAAAAAGGTAACTTCTCTCCATGCCCTGCTGTCTTGTCCTGTAGGATGTGACACTTCAGGGTCCCTTCTCACCTAAGAAAACAGCCTCAGTGCTGTCACCCAACACCTGAACGCAGCTTAAGCACACAAGGGACTCTCAAACAATCGGTCACTTCACAATTCCTAAGATGTCTGAAATACTTCTAAAGGTTAGATAAAGCAGCAGATAAGGTCTTTCAAAGCACAGCGCGCTTTGTGAGAGCTAATTTACTGCCAGCTAAACCGTGTTGACAGACGTAGGAGGTATTTTACTTTGTGACCAACTAGAAGCAGGCAGGCACGATTAAATGCCTTGAGTTTTGCTAGAAACTTAGATTAGTAAGCTTGTACGTTAATGCACACTTTGGACAGTTGAGTCTTAAAAGAATAAGAAGTTGTAAAGCAAATGGCATTTCCTGGATAGCCTCAAGGGAACTGTGAATACTGAGCTCAGGGTCCCTGGTGGGAAGCAGCAATTTCAGCTAATTAGGGTGAATAGCAAAGTGTTGCACTTGGTCAAAACATTCTGTTAACCCTCATTTTTGTTGGCACCAACAAGAGTCTGGATTTTTTGCTTCTTTTTTTTCTTTCCTTTTTTTTTTTGTGAATTCACTGCAGGAGTGCAAGGCACACAGCTCACATACATTAGGCAGAAAGTCAAAGGAAACGCCAAAGTTCAACTAAAGTACAAGTAATTAGAACCAGATTCTCTGCTGCTTGTATGTGTGCATTTGATTGTAGAAGTTATTTATAAGCCTCCAAACATTTGAAAAAATAACTATATACTGTAGATCATTTAATTTTTATGTCTCGTCTGGAAAAAAAGTCTGCTTTTAATCATCTTCCAGGAAAGAGCCAGGAACTGGGAAAGTGGGTCTCAATTGTTTCAATACAAATTTCTCTCTTTCATGTGCCACATAAAACTATACTATAAAATTAAGTCCAAAATATCATTGACTCAGCCCTCTCCATCCAATTTTTTTTTAATAAAAAACTTCTTTGAATTTGTCACGCTTAAATAGTTTGCATTGTTACGAGGGCTGTTGGTTGTTTCTTCTTTTTTTTTTTTTTAAAACGTTGTTTGGAAGACAGACAAGGGGAGAATGGGGAAAAAAAAAAAGAGAGAGAGAAAGAAAACATTATCGTGGAGACTTGCCAGCCTTGACTTAGTAACCTGGCCATGACCCTCCAGCGAGTGTGTGTTTGACCCGGTCACACATGACTCTGGCTGCGTACTGTTGCTGGGTTATAAGTCCCAGATATTTTTACCATATATACAACAGGTGGGGATCACAGACAACAGAATGAGGAAAACAAAGTCTTCCCTTGTGTGAAGGCTCCCATTTTCTCCCTTGCAAAGAAAAAGAACACAAAGCAAAGCGGTCGTGCTACTATTTCACGTATCGGCGCTTGCTGTGCTGGATTCTCCATTTCGCCCGCAGGGTTGATGGCGTGGAGGTGGAGGTGGAGTGGGCTGAGGGCAGGAGGACACAGGAAAAAGGCTCAGGGGAAGCCATGTGCGAATGTTAATCAACGCAGACCAAATTACTGCAATCAAAAAATCTTTCCTCATAGGGCTGGGTATACATCGAGCTTCAGGAGGGAATGCTTTTTAATACGAGTAAACACAACATATCTGCGTTAAAGCACAAGCTGTCACGATAACTCCAGATTGAGATATTATTACCAGGATTTTCAGGAGTATTTTAAAAAGTATGTTTTCCACATTTGAGGGTTTCTTTTTTATTATTTGAGTCTTGCTAGCTGTACATATCTGCCTTAAAGCCATGACGTTAAATAGAAGTTATTCTATTTTAATTCTCGATTACAATTTTTTCAGCATTAATTTCAATCAAGTGTTAGTCATCCCTACAAGACTGTCTATATCTTAAAAAAAATTATTCGGGCTGAAAGCCAAAAAAAAGAACCCTCCGAGTTTTCAGGTTTGCTCTTAGTCTGAAAAGGAGCACTCCACTTTCAGTAGGGTCATGAGAAGATGAAGCTTCACGACCTGATTTCTGCTTGAGGATGCCTAATCCAAAATGATCTTATTCTGTTACTTTAAAATCTAAGAGAGCACCCCGCAGGTTTGCACTACGTGCTGCTCAAGATTCCTACAGTATGATTCAATTAACAGCAAGAAGTAGAGGTTATGGAGCTCAGAAGCCCAATTTGCTTGGACAAACTGCACACGAGGTCGCCTAAAAGGTGCCTCAGACCCGGTCATTTTAAGAGCCGTGCCCAGGGCACAGGCTGCTGCTGCCAAGAACTATC